TGCATGATGTATGTGGTGTGTGTTTGGTGTGTTTGTGTGCATGTGTGTGGTGTGTGTCCATGCATGATGTATGTGTGTGGTGTGTGTGCATGGTGTGTACATGTTTGATTTGTATGTGATGTGTGTTGTATATGTGCATGCATGATATATATGTGGTGTTTATGCATGGTGTGTGATGTGTTTGTGTGGGTGCATGTGGCATGTGTGATGTGTGGTATGTGCACATGCATGTGTGTTGTGTGGTGAGCATGTGTGTGGTGTGTGCATGCATATGTGGAATGTGCACATGGATTATGTGTGTGTGCTTGGTGTATGTGTGCACTTGGTGTGTTTGTGTGCCTGTGTGTGGTACCTGTGCATGCATGATGTGTGTGTGGTATGTGTGCATGGTATATGTGTGCTTGGTGTGTTTGTGTGCATGTGTGGTGTGTGTGCAGATGTGATACATGTGCATGTTGTGTGCATGTGTGTGGTATGTGCACACACGTTATATGTGCATGTGTGGTGTGTGTGGGTGTACATGCTTCATATGTTTGTGTGCATGTATGTGTGGTATGTACACATGTATGTGTGCTTGATGTGTGCATATGTGTGTGCTTGATGCGTGTGCATGTGTGTGGTGTGTGCACATATATGTGTGTATGTGTGTGGTGTGTGTGGGCAGAGCGGGGCGATTTGCTCAGGCTCCATCACAGCCCAGTGAGGACCATTACTGGCAGTCCTTGTGCTGCACGCAGAGACTCCTCTTCCTCCTCCTCCTCCTCCTCCTCTTCCTCCTCCTCCATCTGTGCTGAGCTGTCATCCCCAGCTCCATCCTCCCTGTTCCACACCATGCCCTGGAACCACTATTTCACTTCCTATCTGTACATTTAACTTTCTTCCTTGTTTCTTAGACTCTGCAGATAAGGAAGAGCATAGTCTGGCTTAGTTCACTTCCCGTAGTGCTTTCTAGTTTTAGCCACATGGTAGCCAATGGCAGGATCTCCTGACGATTGAGCGTTTATATTTTCCAACTTCCTTCTGAAATCTGTGCTCTTCTCTTTCTATGATGTTTCCCATACTGCAAACATACAGCTTAGCCAGATGACATCGGAACGCACCTCGCACATCCCAGCACACATACCCACAGGCACACGCAGGCTGGCCTCCGTCTGTACTGGAGCAGGCCTCCCAGAGTCCACACTACACACAGAAACTTCTGGCCTCTATCCTTAGGTATTATTAACTGAGTTTCAGTAATAAGGATATCGAACTTTCGAAAGTCACTCTGACATGAGATAGATATTGTTCTAACATAAACTATAGTCATGTAACATTTGACTATTTTCATTTTCAAATTAGTTTTAAATATGGTTGACAGCTAGTTCCTCTCTGAACAGACAACAATAAAATCAAAGCAAATGTAGCCAATATCTTGTTGATGTATTTGTTCGTTAGGTAAATTACACAGGCTGTGCTGCATTATATGGATGGACCTTCACAGCAAAGAAACCTAGTAGCTTGGATTGCTACAGGGCTGGAAATGGTTTTCCATAACAGGTCTTCAACTACTGAACACCCCAGTTTCCACCAGAAAAGCCAGTGTGGAGGATAGCTGCTCCTACCTCTAGCCACACAGAAGCCACAGTGAGCCTCGGAATCCATATATTATGTCAATTATTTTGTACAAGTAAATGACATTGTATCACATAAATATATGCCTTTATGAAATGTAATATACAGTAAATATTTTGAAGAGGTCAATGCCATAATTAAGGAAAATAATAACAATATATAACTCATTAAAATGAGATTCTAATAAACCAGGCCCAAAATATAAAGTGAGAAGCATGCAAGTACGGTCAGTGGTCAAGAATTGGGGTGAGTGCAGACCAAGTTTGACTGAGAAGTTAAAAACTAAATAAACTCATAGTTATTCACAGCTACTGAGTATGTCACCCCAATACCGGCCCCCCGCCCTAGGAAACTAAACCGTGTGGGGTAGGCGCTCTTCTCACTTCTACAGTGTGGAAGAGGTCTCACTCTACTCTGAAAAGCAAAGCCCACCTCACCTCTGCCTAACTCAACCTCAGAGAGCAACTGTGTCTGCCCACGTGTGGCCCCTGCTCTGAGTGGCCTCTCTCTCCATTAGTGGCATCAGTGGGCAGCAAGGACATTTGTGGTCCTCACAGGGTTTACTAGGATTGGTTGGGCAGACCCAACTCTTCAACTAAGTGTAGTTTTGATAGAAGGAGTGGTGGTACAGGTACAGAGTTCATCTTCTAAAGTATTTTAAGATTAATGATGCCCCCCTTGGACAAACTTACTAGAACTAGGGCAGGCTAGCCCACAGGCTGGAGGCGACGTCCACCCACTCACTGCCTCTTTCCTCTGTAGCTGATGCCACAGTCAGTTCATATGAGACAGGGCTGCACCTAAAGCTAAGAGATGAGTCAAGACCCACAGCTGCTAGGGTTAAATTATTTCAATCTAACCTAGTTAAAATATACTTTTATTTTAAACCATCACGCCCTACTTGCTGGAAGAGCTGCTCAAGGGAACCCTTCTCAGAACAAACACACAAACCAGTTGCAAGTAGTTATGTTCTCCCAGGTAAACACAACACACATTCTGCAGCATTGCTCTGCCACGCTACACACAATGAGCTCAGAACGGAAACTTGAGTACCTCCGGCCAGGGCCTTCGCTTCCAGTTCTGCCATCTGCTTCTTATAGGCCCGCAGCACCGCTTCTTTGAAAGAGGGACGGACTCTCTTCGGCTTTGTGGCTTCCACTGGCAGTTCAGGGACGTTTTGGTTTTCATCTTCCAGCATTTGCATCTCAGCTGCTGGCTCAGTTTCAGGTTCTAGCTCCCCTTCCCCAGCCACCTCTTCTCCCTGCCCCTCGGAACCCTCGTCCTGTGGGGTTTCATACGGCGTCTCATACAAAGGGGGCTCATACTCCTGCATGGGTTCATCCATTTCGGTCACACTAGTCCTGTTTTCCAGCTTGGCAAGGACTTGTTCCATCACTTCCACATAATCGGTTTCGTCATCCACCATGGGCTCGCTGTAGCCCTCCTCCTCCTCCTCCTCCTCCTCCTCCTCCTCATCCGCTTTGTAGTAATAGGACTCAGTGTAGATCTCTGAGTCAAGGGTGGTGCTGGACTCATTTGCGGTGGATTGGGACAGTGTCCGGAATCTCCCCGTGAGGGAGGAGCCACTGTCGTCGCACCCACTGAGACTCTGTGTGCTTTTGTTCCACACAACTTCCAAGGCTGATTTTGCCCTCTGCAGCGTAGACCCAAATTTGGGGAAGCTGAAAGTCTTGTCAGAAAGATCAATGCTTAATCGGCTGTGCCAAGGCTTGGGTGGGGCATCCTCGGAATCATCACTTTGCAATTCCCTCTGACTTCGGTACATCATGGACAACTGGCTCTGGTTCTGGTACAGCTCGTTGGAATTAGCTTCCTGGTAAGAATCACACTGGCCAGCCCACTGACCTTGGGGCTCATTATCCAGCCCAGGGCATGGGGATGAATTGTCATCTTGGGTTAAATCAAAGCTCTCAGAGTCATCTTGGAGGTCGCTGTGGCACTTTCCGAGGTCATCTAGGTCTTTACCAAAGACGTCCATCTGCTGTTCAGACAGGCTGTTTGTGTCGTAGTCAAAAGCATCCCGGGTGGACGAATCCAGGCCTAAATCAGTTCCTTGTTCTGCTTGATCCCATTCCTTCCAGGGAGAGAGGTCCTCCTGGAGAGAGAGCTGCGAGTCACTGTAATGGCTCCGGTCCACAGAGGCACACACCACACTGTTGCTCATACCACTGTCCACAGTGTCTGCGTTCTGAAGCTCCCCGAGGGCCTGCACCCCCGGGGGACTCCCACCCAGGTGCTGGTCCTGAGGGCCCGTGCACCCTGCCAGCACGCCGTCTTGTTTCCTCTGCCACAGCTCCCTGTCTGAGGAGGACAGGAGGGAACTCCCGTTAGTTCTAGCAAAAGTCTGGTTTTCTGAAAAATCTTCTGAGTAAGACTGACATAATTTGGAAAAATCTGACTCAGAGCGACTGAGTTTAGCAGTGAAAAAATCACTCTGCGAATGCCAGAGGGGCGTGGCACCTGCATGCGGGGCTGCGGTGTGCTTTTCCAAGTTATTTGATTCTGGCAACTGTGAAGAGCTTCGCTCGGGGTCTGGTTTGTTTGAAATTCTGCTGCCATTCACAGTTTTATTCTTGGATCGAGCACTGTGTGATTTCGAACTCGGCTTGGAAGCACTCCCCTTGGCTGTGGGCTCCGGCCTGCGAGGCGCAGCACGGCCGTCCCCAGCAAGCCCAGATTCCAGCTCCGTGTCGCTGTCACCAGGTGCACGCCAGCTGTTCCTCCACACTTTGGGCTCAGGAATAGACAGCTGCATGTCCATGCTTTCGTAGGTCTGAGAGGTCGGGATGCCTTTCTCTTTCCTCTCTCTGATATCGTAAGTCAGAATATCTGTTGAGATGCCGATGCCCGTTCCTTTGAGTTTGTAAGATTTTTTTAAGACAGAATCCCTCTGCTGAGGGGTTTCAAAGTACACGAGTATGGGCCGAGGCTTGGCATTGGGACAGTCCCTTTGGTGCCCCACTCTCTGAGCAAACTCGATTTTGACGGTGCTGAATGCATCTGAGAAGCCCATTTTGTCCGTTAGAATCTGGTACACCAGGCTGTCGACGTGCTCCAGCCGCTCCTCGGGCACGTTTAAGAACCTCAGGCTGGCCTTGCTGCCCGCGTGGCCCAGGCACCGGATGTAGTCGTGGATGTCCCTGGTCTCCCTCCGGGACTGCACGAAGCCCGTCCGCAGCTGCTCGATCTCGCTCTGCACCACCTCCACACTGCTGGAGATCTCGTCGATGGAGAGCCGCAGGGCGTCCACGTGGCCGCGCAGCTCCGACAGCTCCGTCTCGATCTGGCTGATGCCCTGCAGCTCCTTGAAGATCATCTCCATGACATCGTGCGTGTGTCGCAGGCAGCCCGAGGAGCTGAAGCCGGGCTCCAGGGCCGGCGTCTCGGGGCGGCGGGCCGTCCTGTCCAGAGACTTGCTCCTTATCCCCCAGGCTCTCTTCACGGTGCTCAGCTCGGGGTCTGAGGAGACACAGTCCTGGCTCTTCTTCCACTTGCGGAGCTTCCTCAGAGCGCCCAGCTTCAGGCCGTGCAGCGTGCGCTCGCCGTCGGAGCTGCCCTCGGAGGGCGCCAGGCTGCTGGAGCTCTTCCTGCTCCGGCCCACGGGCATGGCGCACGCGGGGTGCGCGGGGTGCGCGGGGTGCGCGGGGTGCGCGGGGTGCACGGGCTCCTCGGCGCTGCGCCGCAGCTCGCTCAGAGATTCCGCGTAAGAGCTCTCTGCGGAGGAGAGCTCCGCGGGCAGACCCGCATGGTCGGTGGCGGCCGCGCGGACGCCCCTCCGCAGCCCGTTGGCGATCGCCGCGCGGTAACTGAGCGTCGGGGACAGGGCGAAGTCCTGGCTCCCCTCGGCGCCCTGCGCGGGCGGGCTGCGGGCGGCGGAGCGCTTCGCAAGCCTCTTCACGGTGCTCTTCAAAGTATTAGAAAATGTGGGCGTTTGGGTCTGGCCAGCGGTAGGAAAAGCTTGCTCTTTTTTCTGCTGACGGTTCTGCTTTTTTTTGGTTGTATTTCCCAGTTTCTTTGTGAACATTCCTTTGCAAAGCTTGTATATGTACGGTAAAATTAAGCTCTTGAACAGATTAGCCACCATGGAGAGCGATTAGCTGTCCTGCCCCAGAAGCGAGCGGCATCAGCGGGAAGCTCCTCGCCTCCGCGGCCAGCATCCTGCTCCTCCTCCGAGGGCTCCGAGTCACTGCGGGGCCGGCGAGGTCAGCGCCCCCGGAAGTCCGCACGCAGCGCCGCGGTCACGAAGGCCCTCGTCCCGGAGGGCTGCGCGGAGTCCTCTTGCTTCCATTAACTTCATCAGTGTCTGAAGAAAAAAAAAATAGAATGAACGTCAAAATTCAATCCCCAGTTTATCCTGTTTAACATTTTCCAAGTGTTAACGATATGTGCTACGTGAAAAATTGCAGTGCTCAGAGGCTGTCTAAACTTAACACAAACTTATCCATAGTACGTTATAATGTCTTTTTCTAACTCATCTTATGGCTGAATGCAACTGAAGCGGAAATAAAGGTAATAAAGAATGCTTCTAAAAACTGATCAAATGATAAACAGTCATATTAACATCATGATGTTCTTTCCACCCTATTTCCTTCCTAAAAGTGTGGTTACTTACAGAAGCAAAAAGATTTAAAGTTAAGCTAATTCTCCCTATGCCAAATTTTTGAAATTCAACAAATTTATACTATTCATGTGTGTAAGACTTTTCCTTATTCAAATCATCTCTACTTTTTTGGCTGTCAGTGATTAAGAATTTCTTAAACCATGATTAAGATGATCCAAGCAAATAATTGCTTCATACAGGGAATTAATATGCAGAGAAAGTAGAGCTTATATAGCTATCAAATTTGTTAATAAAGTACCATGAGTTGAAAAACAATTCAAGGCTACATCAGACCAAGCACTTGTAAGGGTAATAAAATCCCAACAGTAAAATACATTTGACACTGCAGATGACACACGAAAACTTGGCAATCGGGTGCTACGTCGGCCAGTGCTGGCTTGGGGTGGGTGGGCGAAGCCCAGCTCCGCATTTAGGAACGAGGGGAGATCGGTATCAGCTGCCAGGAGAAACTGTGCCCGGATAACTAAGCATGCGAATCATTAAGAACTGGTTGGCCAGGTCCATTTATGATGCAGCTTTGTGAAATGTAAGTCAGCAATCTTTGGCTACTTTCTTGAATTACATGAAAAAAATAGTGCACATTTTGTTTCACTGGCTTGCTATCACAGGCCTTGTACCTGGTAGGCACTTGAAGGGTTACGGAATTGGGTTGGACTGAAGATGTTATCACTGAAATGCACTCCAAAAACAAACACACAAACAGACAAAAGATGTATTCCAGAATAACAGCTATTGCCAAAGCCTTTGCTGGTTCTGAAGTGTTTGGGGAGCTAAAATCCACTCTGCTCACCAAAGAGTGCACCTCTC